GATGGACAAGCAGAAGAATGGCATGAAGTAATAGTAAAAAAAGAACTCTGAATTTAAATTCAAGAGTTAGGAAAATCCTAAGGAGCACAAATTAGGAAAAAGAAACAGGTCTGCAGTACAGTTTAGCTTCAAATACTATCTATGAATTTTACAGCAGAAGCACAACCACAAAGGTTTGCAGAGTTCTCTGGATTTGGTTTTTGCACCACCCTTATGATATTTTTAATCTGGAAAATCATGCAGCTTTCTTCTATTGCAAAATACGGTTCTTCTCATGAAGATAATTTTATCTTATCTTGCAAGATAGTATATATTGATACCCAGGGATAAAAACTACAAAAAGACAATCTGTATGCATAGAGTGTTTTAATGAACATAGAAGAGAATTATTTATGACTTTAAATAACCAAAGAAATTCTTTTAAAATATAGCTATATATAGGAATACGTGTATGAAAAAGTCTGTAGCAAAATACTAACATTTTAACTAGCTGACATGGTATTTACATGTGCAGGCAAAAACTTTGGAAAACCACAGCATTCCTGTACTCTGTCAAAACGCTTGTCACAGACTTTTAAAGAAAAAAAATTTAAGCCAGTTTTTAATTGCAAAGCTTATGGATGAACCCATTAAGAAAAAACACAAGGCTACTAATCCCTTACTCACAAATCAATGAGTGCTGGCACAGTACCCTCCCGTCCTTTTAGTCTTCACTGGGAAACCACTGTTGCAGCTACCAGGGATAAGATGTTGAGGATGCAGGCCTGCAGTTTGCCCAAACTTGGATGCTCTTCTATCCATCCTAATAGGCTCCAAGTCTTCTCCTGACTGAGAGGACACTTGAAAATACGCCCAAGTCAGCAAAACATTTTAGCATATGCTTACTATTAAGTAAATGGACTGAGAAAATTAAACTGGTTTTAAGTTCTTCCTTACGTTATGTGTACTAAATGCCTTGTTGCGTAAGGAATTAAAGTGCTATGGGTTGAAGATTAAAGTCTGACAATTTAGAGTCAAATCAGAGACAACAGAAAGTTTCCACATAAAATATCAATCTCATTCATATTTCACAGGGTCATATCATTAAACACTTCTAAAAGTAAATTAAATTGCTCAGTTTGTCAGATCCCCTGGTTACATAGTACATCCAAACCGTTTTCCTTGAGAAGGAGATGCATCAGGCAGCAGTTCCAGGACAAAACCTGTTGCAATGCTCCTGAGTTCTGAAATCCATGTTTTCAGACTGTTCATTGGGATTCTGCTGAGGGCATCTGTGGAAGTTTATAACTCTACAAAGAATAAAGATCCTGGTTTATGCAGTACAACTGAGTGGGCTGTTTCTGCAACCCTTCAAGGAGTGAGTCTGTGCACATCATGGACCTGTGTCGCCCACTGATGAGAATTAATCAAGAAAGATACTGTGGATCTTAGACAGCAGTGATGAACAGAGAATGGAACTGGAGACAACATTGCTCCCCACATGACTCCTCCCCATGTGATTACTTATCCAAATAAAGATGCCTTTCCTTAACACATTGCTACTTTTACAACTACGCATCTGTGGGAAGACGACAGCACTTAATCCAAACTGTTCAGCATGTAAAAACAAACACTTTTGAAATTTGGAAGTATTCCTTTAAGAAACAGCAGTATAAGGCTCTTCTCTTCACCCAAGAGAGCAGAAAATTAGAATGAACATTTTCAATACACCCAACTAATCTAACTGCCATACAAATTCTCCCATTGGAAGGGTATATATTTAAAAAATCATGGGACTTTCCAAAGGAAATCTTGCCTTCTTTACTTGATGTCAGGGACAGCTTTGCCATTGACTTCAGCTGGACCAAGATTTCACCCCATGTGTTTCAAGAGAATCCGTGTGGTTCTGCCAATAGTAGCACAAAAAAAAAAACCCAAACAAACCAAAACCAAACAACTAACAAAAAAACCCTAAACAGGAAATAGTCTCCAAGGAATACTTCTTTGTGAACTCTTACAATTAAGATTAAATAATAATAATAGTTCTTACAGTCTTCTCTTCCAGTGCAAATCCATGCCATAATTTCCTGGATTAAGACTTTACTTATTAGGTATTGCACTTAGGAGAGTTCATGTTGGATCACATCATGGAACCGCAAATCAGTTTTTCATGAAGTTACTCCTCCTGATGCTATATAGCAACTCCTATATTATGTTTGGTTTTTTAACTCAAGATGTTCAGCTAACATAAAACTGCAATATTTTATCAGACTTTTAAAAGGAGTATTTTGCCTGGTAATGTGACAAATGATGAGATACTTACTTGTTTTGAAGAGGGGGGTGTTAAATCAAATATAACATAATGAAAAATCATGAAAGCACCTTTATTTTCTGTACTCCAAAACAGCCAAGCTAATTCCTGTAAATTGAATCAGCCATTCCCTGATTTCACCTACAAGTGAATTTTCACTGCTGAATTGTCAAAACTTTCAAACAAGAGAAATACTCACAGTCTCTTAAGGATCGCATTATAAATAGTAGAGTCCTACCTCCACAGTTCTCTGACTTCATTCCTAGGCAGCACTGAAGAAGCAGCTACAGTCACATGGTGCATTCAAGGTCATGCTACTCTAATTGACAGAGATATCATTGATAAATTATGCGGAAACAATGATAATGGAGTCATTAACCTTGTTGCAGCACACTAAAGGTGCTTTATAATTAAAAGGAGAACAAAAGTTACAAAAACATATAAAAATTTTATTACCCAGCCTTTTCTCTCCTACACACTGCTGCAAAGTACTGTTAGGGAATAGTAATGTTACTGTAGAGTAGATTCCTGCTGCCTGTGCTTTGTCACCGAGGGGTGCAGGGACTATAAATGGTTTACACTGGAAGGAGGAGTCAGGTAATAAAATGCACAAACCATTGACCTTTTTTTTATTTTTTTAAATAGAAAGTTGGATCCGGAAGGCCTCTCCCTTTGGCAAAGTAAAGGAAGTTGGTGCACAAGAAAGATCATTCCAGCCAGGAAGTCTTTCTCAGTCCAAGAATCTATGCTGAACTGTTATTTCCAAACAGGCAGTCATCTGGCCAATGCACTGAGAACTTGTATCAAAATTGTAACTGAAACTGCTCAGATATATATAGATACAGACACAAATATTTAAGATTAAGTGAAATTCAGAATTCACTCTTTATGTCTCATTCAGAAACTTGCACTCATTCCCAGACTAAAAGCCTGACTAATGTCCCTAATTCACATATGACAGGTAACTTTAGTAAGGGTGATTTATTAATGAATCACTGGTGGTTGCTTTGACTTAAAGAGAAATATTAGAAAAACAGTGAGGAGGTGGGACAGAAACTGTTTCATACAGTAACTCAAAGTAACCTGAAATTTGCCTTACTGTAGAGCATCTATAGGGTTTCTGAGGAAAAAAAAAAAAAAGAATTTAAATAACAGACAATTCTACCTTTATCTTCTTGACACTTCCACTGCTGCTTCTCTTTGAATCTTGTTACAGTAAGACCACTCACAGTACAATTATTAACTATTAAAAAGAAGAAACTACAGAGCAGGTTTCCTGCTGCTAAGGTGCCCAGAGATGACCATATACTGCCAAAACAAAATCCATTGTACTCTTTCCTAATTTCACATTATCACATGAACTACTGTGTCTCCCTGCATTGCCTGTCAAGATACCATCTACAGCATATTGCACAACTTACCCATATGGACAAATAGAAAAATCCCAGATCACATCTGTATTTAGAGGTTTGACCTCACGAGATAACTGAATTTATCACAAAGTACATTCTGAAGGCCTGAGTGGAAGTCAAATTCTTTTTACTGGTTCTGTCATGTTTGGATAAACTAATAATTGGCATATTCTTCAAGCATTCAGAAGTATCACAAATCATGCTTTAAACAATAAACCACTAATTATTAAATTATACCTAAAGTCAGAAGGACTCTCCTCTGTGTCCTCTGAGCACAGGCTGATGGCTACAGTTGCAGAGCACAAGCGCCTCTGATGTATGGCATCTAAAAACTTCCCACCGCAGAAATTCCCAAGTTTTCAATGGCTGGGCTCGCTGCCCGGCTGGAATGCGTACTTCAGAGATACGCCTACAGCCGCTGCACCACCCACGGCCGAAGAGCACCTACAGACTCGGTTCCCAGAGCAGCTCCTGTGCTCCAGAAATGCTGCTGGGATAGCAGGAACCTCCTCATGAGCGTTCAGCTGCAGAGAGCTCAACTCAGCACAGTTTAAAGAGGACAGAAACAAACATGTAAACAGCATCTGTGGCGTCTTTTCTCTACTGACTTTCCTGGAAATGCATTAACCTATTAGAGTACTTCAAAAATAAACACACACAAAGGGGAAACAAGCGTATCCGTTCTTTCCCAAAAGTTTCTTTCTGTCTGTCCTCCCACTCGGCTCCGAACTCCCCGCTCCCTGGGATTAGCGATCGCTTTCACCAAGGATCAAATGAATGACTTTTCCGCTAATGACACTTAAGAGATGCTGAAGCCACCCCTGGGGTGCCACCAGGGAACCCGGCGAGCGGCGGCAGCCCCTGTCCCCACGCCGAGGCGGCCGGGGCGAGGCGAAGCCAAGGGCAAGCCCCGCTCCGCAGCTGAGCCCGGCGGCCGCTCCGGCCCCGCCGGCAGCGCCCGCGGCAGGAGCAGCCGGAGGGGCGGCGAGGGTCGAGTCGGGTCGGGCGGCTCCCCGTTCCCGAGAGACAGGGGCTGCAAGGGTGCCGCCGCCGCCCCCCGTCCGTCCCCCCCCGGCATGGCGAAGCGCTGTCACTGACGCACATTTAATTCGCCCGGCTGCGGGTACCGCGCAGCGCCGCTCGCATCCTCCCCCCGCCGCCGGGGAGGGGGCGGCTCCGCCGGGGAGGGGGAAAGTCAAACTGCAGCAACAAAGTTGCTCCCCCCACAAGCTCCCCCAGACCTGCCCCGGCCCCCAAGGGGGTGGACAGAGGGGGAAGGGGGGCCGTGTCCGCCTTACCTTGCTTGACGCACTTGAGGCGGATGGGGTCCTTGCAGTGCTTGATCACGGCCAGCACATCCCTGATGGTGAGCCCGGCCACGGGGGTCTCGTTCACCTCCAGCAGCAGCTCCTCCGGCACCAACTTGCTGCCGCCCTCATAGGCCACCTTGCCGGGCTTCACCTCCCCCAGGTAGGGGAACTGCCCGTTCTCGGCGCCCCCCTTCAGCTCGAAGCCCAGCTGTCCCTCCGGGTTCCTCACGATCACGATCTCGTGGACTCTGCTCGTCCAGTGGCTTTTCTTCTTCAAGCCCTTGGACATTGCCGTGGGGATGCTCTGCCCGACTCCCTCCCTGCGGTGCGTGCTTCTTCCCTCCCTCCCTCTCTGCCCCCCTCCCCGGGGCAGCCGGGCTCCTCCGGGCAGGCTCGGGGCGGGCAGGAGCGGCCGCCGCTGCTGCGGCCCCGCGGGACTGCGAGCTGGGTCGGGGAGCGCCTCTGTGCCCGCTCCGCCCGGCTTTAGCTGATATCCATGGCAGCCGCGGCGGCCGGACCGTCCCTGCGCGGGGATGTACTAGTTGTAGAGAAACTGGCAGCGGGGAGGAGGGAGGGAGGGAGCGAGAGGGAGGGGACGGCCGCGGCGCGGGGAGGAGGAGGAGGAGGAGGGGTGTCGATGTCGGTGGCGGAGCGAGGCGGGCGCTGCCTCTTCGCTCCCGCCTCGCCTGACCCGGTAGTGAAGGCCGAGAGAGAGGCTGCCTGGCACGGCCGGCAGAAGGCGGAGAGCAGCCCGGGCGGGGAGGGGGGGCGAGAGCGCCCTACGAGAGGGAGGGAGAGCGGCGACCCCCGCCCGGCTCCCCCAGCCCGGCCCCAGCCGAGAGGGGGCGCCCGGGGGAGGGATGGCGCTGCCTCCCGGCCAGCGAGCCCCGCACTGACCCCCAGTCAGCGAGCCCCGCTCCGGGCGGGCCGAGCCCCGCACTGACCCCCGCTCCGGGCGGGCCGAGCCCCGCACTGACCCCCGCTCCGGGCGGGCCGAGCCCCCGCTGCAGCGGCGAGAGGGAACCGGCGGCGCCTGGAACCACCCCGGGGGCACCGCGTCCGTGCCCCGTGGGGACTGCGGAGCTGTCTGAGGAGGAGCGGAGGAAGGTGGTCCTGAAGCTGTGCTTGTGGCCGGGGAGGACCGGAGTCAGACGGGCTTCGGGCGGTGGCTGCAAAACCAAGCGGCAGCTGTTGCCTTCGAGGATCTTCACATTATGCGTGTTTGCAGAGTGGTTTCACTCCACTCAGAAGTCTCACGCTCAGTTTACTGAGTTGTTCATGGGCATTGAGTTGCTGTGGCCGCAGGAGGCCAGAACTGATGGTTCAGGTGGGGTGCTACACTGAAGAGGGCATAACAATGGGAGGGATGGCAGTTCTTTCTATAAAATCTACTGACAGTCACCTCCCAGGTGTTTATCACTTTGCTTTCTGCTACTTGGCTTCAAACCCCAAATGACCTTAGTAGCCAAAGAGCGATGCTCCAACCTGCAGAGCTTCCCTCAGCCCAGCACTTGGATGCACTGATCAGCAGATGATACTCGGCTCCCTCCTCATATGGGCTCTACCTTTAATCAGTTCTGTCATATGCCTCGCACGTGTGTGAGCAGTGAGCAGGAGTGTAGCAATTGGCATGTCTTTCTGTGAACCTCGCCTTGCCTAGAAAAACAGTTTCCATCTAAAGTGGAGATTGACAAAATACAGGCAGAACAACCTCCTGAATTTAAGAAGCATAGTTTTTGTGCCTGCAGGATATAGGAGAGCAGGATACAGGAAGGCAGGGGTCTGCAGACATGGTACTGAATGGGGGAAGGCAGAAGAAATATACTGTGTGTTACAGTGATTTTAAAGATGGTCAGATATTTTTAAAATTTCAATTAAAGTGACTCTGCAATGAAATTTTTTGCAAATTGTATTGCTGTTTTCCTTCTAGGTTCCTATGGAAACAGGCCTCTATGCGATCATTCTTGGCTGTGTCTCCTTCACTTCTCCAATAACTTTTGAAGCTGTTGGGCAGTTTCACCCAAATCTATCTCAAATATAATTAAGCTATTTCATGAAAACAGGCAGCTGCGTAGGGCTGAGAGGTCCTGTAAATGTCCCAAAGGCTGTAACATGAACTTGTGTCTTATTAAACAGTGATTCACATGGTTGAGAGACCATATAAATGTCTTGGTAATGAGAAAAGTTTCAATTACAGCTCATTATCAGCCTCAGTATAAGTCTGTGGGAAACCTGGGTTCTTCGGTTCACGTTCTCCAACAATTTCTTGTGTTCCAAAGGTGGAACAGGCACATGCAGAGGAGAAGAAATCAATGAGAAATTACTGACATCTGTACTCTGCAAGTCATTTCACCTGCTCTGCTGTGGGGGTCTAGTCAGAGTTGCAAAGCTCTGAGTGTGAGGGGCTTCACAAAAGCAGGCTCAAAGAATGAACAATACAAAAACTATCCCACAAATCTGGAAATAAGATATGTGTGAGGACAGACAGCTGAAGATGGCAGGGGAGCTAGAAAGGTACTTTCACTGGAAGGTACTGTTTTCACTGGTGGGATAAGGGTTGTGTGATGGTCTCCTTTTCCAAAGACCATTATGAGTGTCCTGCTGCCACTAGGAACAAGGTCTCTGGTCTGGACAAATATGGGCTAAGGAATTGTGAAAGAGAGCAAGAGAACCAGTAGATTTGTCTCTCTGTAGCCCTGCCCCTTGCATTTTGTCTTGTTCTTTAGTTCAGAAGTAAGGTAGGAACCAAATGGCTAAAAAGAGGAATTGCAAGACATATCTTATTATCCTTCAGTTTCACAAATTTCACCACAGTCACTTCTTTGGTGAGTCCTGTGCTCTACTAAAGCCCATGCTACCAAAGAGGTCACCACTTCTTAATTTAGAATTTATAGTTATTCTGCTAGTATAGTATTGGAGTTGTTGATTTGTCTGAGAATTAAAATAAATTTCTAAATAGCTCCATGTTTACCATAATATATGTACAACACTAGGACATCTGCCAAAAATGCAGCTTGTAATAAATATGTCAAGAAATATTGGAAATATTCCTAAATGGGGGAAGGGCATCCTGTGGGTGTTATTTTTCTGTTTCTTAAGAGTCTCCAATAATTTATTGATCAGAATTTTTTAAGTGCTCATTACCATTTTAAGACGGATGACATTAGCAGTAGGTAATAGGTAGGTGCCTTGCTAAATAGGTGGTGACACAAACTCCTATTTTAAAGGGTCTACAAGTGAGAGCATTTCTGATTTCATATGTATTATGGACAAATCAAGCTGAATGAGCTCTTCATTTCTCACTGCAGTTGTAATAGTCTAAAATAATACCCTGGCAGAGGTGCTGGAATTGGTGCTCCTGGTGCATTAACTTTGCCTTCTGAAGGTGGGCAGTGCTATGAGCCAGGCAGACCACAGCAAAGGCATCTGCAGTTTGACAGAGGTGGGAGGGTAAATGGAAGTAGCCCTAGCAGTTTTCCCAAAGCAGATCTGTGTGTTAGTTGATCTTCATATCAGGAAAGGATGGCAGTTTTCAGGTTCGGAGACCAAGGAAATTTGGTGAGCAGAATGGAAGGTCATACCTGTTAAGATCATGGAAGAGTAAAGGATACTGTCACTAAAGGATGACTGAAGAATTCAGTGTTTTTCTGCAACATTTTCATACAGGGAGCATAAGTTTCTGGAGTATATGTATGTGGATTAAGTTTTGCCATTGTATCATCTCTGGTTTATGTTCTTGGGGCCTAGGGCAGTAGTGCCAGAAATGCATAGTTTGCTTTGGTCTTCTATTTGAAAGTATATTTGGAGGAATTGAAACCTCATACAAGGTGCTTTTGCATCAGCTACACTCTTTCAGATAATTTTTTTTCATTTTTACAGGGATAGAGGGCAATCTGTAAAACACGATTATTCTTGTCATTGACAGAGCAAGTGTCCAGCATGTAACTGAGAGGGCAAGCTGGCACATTTTATGTCTGGTCCCTGAAGAAAAGGACTCTGCGACCTGCCAAGACCTTTCTGTTAGTCCCTTCCATTGGTTCATCTGAGGAGGGTGTGAACTGATCCTGGGTGTGAATGTAAGGCTATCTAACACAAGGGATTTCCTAAGAGTAACAACAGCGCATAATGAAACACGCTCACCAAACACAACAAAAATGCCTTTTATTATTCCTTTAAATCTGAGCCTGTAAACATAGGAATCAGTAAGTCACTGTACTTTTGGGAGTAAAGTTGAGCACATGAGTAAGCTGAAGTGTGAGACTTCATAAATAAATGCATTTTGTAGCTGGAAAGGAATCCTGCCTACTGTAATATTACAGATTCAGTAAAAAAGTAACTGAATTCTCTATGTGTTTTCAGTATGCCACATTTTTAGATAAGTGAATTCCTCAAACAGCAAATGATGTATTGCATGTGCCAAAGGGGAAAAAAAAATAAAATACATCCATTACCTTCTATTATTTATGCAGGAATGGAGTTCTCTACCTTGTAATTTTGTTTCTAACATTGGGCTTGAACTCAGAAGACATTAAATTTCCTTCTTCAGCACTTGCTTCCTGTGTGACTGGCTGATAACTACATGACATTGCTATCTCTTATTTTTTCCATTTTAGTGTGGGCATAATTCTCCAGAGTTTCTTATTTAGCATGTCAGCTACCCAACAGCCTTATTCTTACATAAGCCTCTCAACTTTACAATCTAGATCCACCACAGGACATATAATCATCTAGGACTAGGAATTTACGTGTTTAAAGCCGAATTCACAAAAGGTTTGCCTGTGCTCTTAGTTGCTCCAAAAAATTGTAATAGCTAGTCTTCTCAAGAATGGAGCTCCAAAGTATCTTAGTTAATTTCACTGTCTTCTGCTTGGAGTCTTAAATGTTTTCCTTGGGATTCTGAGAAAATTCAAAGTCCTGTCTTTCTCTGGAGAAAAAATTAAAATTCCTAATGTTTTCAGTTGCAAATTTCACCCCAAAAATCACTAGAAATTTGTTACAATCTTTACTATTGTTACTTACATCTTCTATGAGCTAGGTTTTACTAGTATGAGCCTAGAGTTATTACTAATATATC